GATGCCTTGATCTATCCCCTATCCTTCTCTTCATCCTTTCCTCTATCACTCCTATTTGCTCTCGCTCCAACTCTCTGTAACCCCTTGGGTGCTAGTGGCTTCCCGCCTTGCTTGGGGTGAAACGCTTTAAAAAAAATGGTGTCAATTTTGGGGGACACTCTGTATAATTGAATGGACTAATATAGTGAGTGGTTATAAAATTTAAGATGAGAATTATGCAATATAATCTTTCTTAATGTTTCTATTTCCAACAATGTAAACATGTTTCTTGAATTGTTTAGTAAAATATTTTCCTATCCCAATCATCTAATAGAAAGTACTATTCAAATACTATAACGACACCGACATGGAAGCCATCTATGTGATATCATTTTTGCAACGTTACATTGATTTATTCCGTCTCCATTAGCTTACTGGGTGTAAACCGCCTGCATACAGATAGAAAGCGAATTGAGTAGGTACACACCAATAGAAAGTGGCCTGAAACAAGGTGTTTTCCCACCGGGTTTATTCAACCTCTACAGAGAAACTACCCTAAGGGAGCTGGAGACCGTACCAGGATTTATCATCGATGATGCTTAATGTTATATCAATATAAGATACGCAGATGACGCTCTGTTGTTGAAACAGATTATAAAACAAGAGGACCTCCTAGACAATTTAGTGAAGGGAAGCGAGAAGAATTTAACCATCAGAAGAAAGAAAGCACGGTTCTTAGCAAAAGAAACTCGTAAATATCAACATCAAGTAAGTAGAGACGCGTTTAAACAGCTTGGAAGTGTTTTAAAGGGAGGGGGGGTAATGCTGCAAATGCAACACCAAAATCCGAAGCCGAATCGACCTAGCGATGTATTCATTCGAAAAGCACAGCAAAATATAATGAAACATGAAAAATTCTTTGGAAGCAGACAACAGAAATGTGGTTCTACAGAAGGATGCTAAGAATTCCACGGACGCAGTGCGTAAGCAGCGAAGAAATCTTAAGGAAAATACAAGCAAAATGGACAATTATACTCCCAATCAGAAACTTTCTTCGACATATAACGATGAAAGAAGTTATGGAGAATATGCAAGGCGTCTCGAAGACAAGAACGACAGGATAAGACAGAGAGCCACCTACTTCAACGGTGGATGTTTAGAAAAGAGACAAACGTTGCTAAGGTTTAGAAGGGATAGAGGGTTTGAAGAGTAATGATCGCCCACGTCCCGAAGGGACACGGTATGTAGAATAATAATAATAATAATAATAATAATAATAATAATAATAAGGGTAGAATATGTCGCGATTAAAATTGTACATGCGTGAGATAGAATTTTATATTCATTCTGTACACAACAACTGTAATGGATGAATCAGAAAAATGTATTTAATTAAAACCGACGAAAGAGAAAGATAGTATTCATCAAACCGCGTTAGACTCCTAGTCGGTTTTGATTACTTTCAGTTTCGGACAAATAACCCCTTAAAACGTATGAATCCATTTATCACCTCCCACCTATGGATTAAATATCAAAGCAGACTGGGGTCGCTAGTCTTCGTTAGCAACCAGGCTGGACATGGTGGCTCGATAAAAATACCCATCTCCCATCATCCTGGCCCATTTAAAAAGGATGTGTCGGTCGGTAACAACTGACTTAATTTCATGCAATATAACTTGCACAATCAGCCGCAAGCGGAGATAGCGTCTGTTTGAAAGGCTCGCGTTTTGCATGCTGATTTTCAAGGATGGTAGATAGCCATGCTTTCCCCCTTTTAATCTGGAAAAGCACAATCACCGGAGTTTGTGCCATATGCAGTAAAAGCTTTGTAAATATTATTAGCAAATTTCATGAAGTACAGTAGAAGAAAAACAGTTACTTTTCGAAGAATTCAACTATAAAAATGACATTAGTTCTATTTTGAACGAGTTGGTGGATTTTAGATTACAGCTTCTAAAGGGCAGCGTCAAAAATCTGTACTACATTCAGTTTGTGCGTGCTGTTCAAATTCCACGAGTGAATTTTTGGCTATCATCTTGTTTATAATCTATTGTTTTTAGTTAAAATGGCAAAGATTTGTTTCAGTAGAAGACGCAGTACCACCTGAGCATTGACGTAAATAAGATTCGAGAATTATACAGTGGCGAGTCAAAGAAATGTGTCACCTAGGAAATAAATCAATTTGCATAATCTTTCCTAAGAAGCCGTAAGTATTCAACAGAGAACATTTATGAGTGGTATCAGCGATTATCCAAGACTGTAATACAAGTTGTTTTACTCACAACACAATACAGGAGGAGGTACAGACCTGAACGCATCGTGATATTGAAAATAGGGCATGAAAAAGAGCCACTTGACAAGAATCAAGATTAATATGATCCCAGATACGCTTGTAAATTTCTCATGTTAAATGATCAAATATTACTTAAGTTTTGAAACTTCCAACTTGTCTTTTTTTGTTCAGTTGATTTAACTCCTTCCCTGGCGTAGATGTGTATATACATCTTTACCGGAAGTGACTTTTTTAGACACTGACGAATAAACAGGTCTAAAACATAACGTTTAAAATGTGTTTATACGTCGATCTTGATTATTTTCATGTCCTTCTGACACGTCTGGTAGATGTATTAGCCACCGCTGGGGTAACTTAAGGTGCCTCAGTTTCTTAGTTACTATATTAAAAACAAATTATAAAATTCGTTTGAAAATGAAGAGTTTTCTCCAAATAATTCTCGCGGTAAGGGTTAAGTTTCAAAATGGGTGAGTCTGTAGAAGACGGTGTAAATTGTCGAAATGTAACAAAAAATGAGTCAATATTAAATCGCTAAGGAGCTTGAAATATGAAGACGTGATACCAAAGTCCATCGAAAGAAGTATGCTGATGTTAGACGTGTTTTTGGATCGTGGATCTTCAAAATTAGACATAAGAGGTTTAAAAAAGACCTAATGAGGTTATCGGTATTGAAACATATGGCACAGATCGTCAATTAATCGATCGAGCCAGCATTTCTACTAAAGTGCCAATAAAAAGGGATAATATGTAAAAGTCATCTACCGTATATTTCCGTGTATAAGGCGACCTTTAAATGTTAAAAATAAACCTTAAAATAGGGGACGTCTAATATAGTAGTTAAAAATACCTTAAATCCTGTGGTGTATAGTAATTATGCTAGTATGCTTGCGCCATCGATTACGTTAGGCTAAAAGCTGCCTCAGTATGGTTACTGCCGATGTAAATATCTCTAGTTGAAATAATTTACATTATAATACTGTACTATAGTTATACATATAATAAAATTACTTTTAATTCTTGATTTTCTATTAAAATGCAATATTCAAGAGACGATTACACAACAATTTGTAAACGTGCCACTGAGCAACACGAACAAGTAACAAGTAACGTAAACAAATATTTCGTTCTTGGTTTGTAGAGCCATGTTTGAGTTCATATCCATCTTTATTTCTCATAGTAGTGTTAAATAACAACATTTAAGATAACATAGAATCTATATTTCTAATTAAAAATGCATTATCATTATAGTGTTGAAAAACAACAATTAGTATAACATGCAAACTTTATTTTTAAATAACATACGATATACAGTACTTTTGCGATATTAAACAATAAAAATTTATGACGCCATAATTTTTTTTAATTTCTTATTACAGAATAAAAACAAATATAAGGAACGCACATACCTAATTAAAACCCTTCAAAATAGATATGATCATTGTAATGACAAAAGTATGCAGGTGTATGCTTTAAGAAAGATTTATTCAACTGAGAATACAATATTCGCGCATAGTGTCCTTTTATAGTCCCAGTAAATAGAAATAGCTCTCTCATAGAGGAGAGTTACAAAAAAGTGGACACCATTCTTGATTATTTATAAAAATCATCACCATCTGATGCAAAGAGTTCATCATAATCATCATCATTTACTGTTTTGTCATATCGGTCGTCTTATAACTACGAATATATCATATGAAATCATGAAAATTTTCCTAGATTTTAGGTCTTGTCTTATTTATAGGTAAATAGTTAAATCCAACAAAAAAGCCATCATTAGTCAAAAAAAAAAAAATCAAAGAGGAAAACATTTGAAATGGGAAAAATGAGCCAAAGAAAACCAAAAGCCAAATAGTAACCAAATTTTGAATACAACGGGAGACATAGTAAATTCTGATGACGACTTTTAATGTCCCTAAACATATAAGGAAGTTCGTTTTGTATATTTTTTAGTTTTTCTTTCCTTAACTCATCAACTGCCAAATTTTTTTAATGCGCGTTTTTGACCCAGACAAGTGTCTTAGGAGTTTATTTATTCCTTATGTTTAATTTCAGTAGTTACCATTGTCGCTTTTATAGAAACTAGAACATCAAATATATATGTGTATAAAACATCAAAAAATAATATTGATTAAAAATAATAAAAGAATACTTTTCAAAATAGTCATTATTTTTCTACTCGTGAAATGTAAAATTACAACAGAAAGTGTCTTCTTACGGCTAATAATAAAAACTTTAAAGGCCAAGTGTTGTAAAATATACCTCTGCAAATGCAATGTTTGTAAGCAATTCAATGTAAATACAAAGAATAACATGTAGTGAGTTTAATTTTAACAGATCCCCAAATGAGGCTTATGGCATGTAATGCGTTAATAAAAGCAGCTAATTGCATATTTTCTCTTCTGGCTCATAACTTCTGTACGCTTTATTTCCCGTATCAGAAGTAAAAGATGACCTTAATGACCACAGATACAACTCCAGAAAATAAATCATCAAATATCATGAGATAAAGAACAAAATCTGTTGGATTCCGATCCATATTTGATTTGTATTTGTTCCCAACTTATTGTCAAATATTTAAAACTACTTAGCAAAATGAATCAAATTTCCGGCGCGGCGTTTCATTCCTTCTACTAGCTAACGTATTTGCTCCAAAAGAGTCTCATAGGCAATAAATAACCCCAGCCAATGCATGAACTTCAGCACATGCTTGATTTTTGCTCTGAGCACA